AAATACAAAGCATTTCATATTCACTTCTTAACTAAAATATACTTTTATGCATTTCTTTTGAAACTTGTTTGCCTTCTATTTTAATGTTTGGAATAAATTTGTAGTGATAAAGTATCAATTTAGAACACTTCAAATGTAATAACTTTAAATGTACAGGTAACATCCCATTGATAGCTTTTAGATGTACACTGGTATTTTAAGAAGTTCTTTTCTTGATAGCATCATTTTCTAGTTTAAACTGTACTTTTTCAATTTTCATTTTGACATTTTGATCTCTGACATTTTTAGTAATTCAAGAGTTCACACTTAGCTATTGCTTGATACTAATAGCAGGTTTGTCATGCTGTCTCAGGAGAGAACTCTGAGCTTGGAAATAATGGAGCACAGGGCTCCAACCTGTTCAATTAGCATGTAGGGGGGTACGAGATCAGGTATTTCTCTAGAACTCCCTCTGGTAAAGGAGGAAAAGTGGTAGATGGTGTGGATGGGGGATTATTCAAAAACTAAGAGGGAAGCAGGGCTACTTATTGAAGGTTTGGATTATTCTGATTGGTTTATCAATGATTGCAGATGAGAGACCAATCAAGTTTATCAAAAATTACTATAAACCTTGATTACTCATTAATATGATTTCATAAAAAAATGATGGTATCACTGCTGTTGTTTAGATATACTGATTTATGAGAGCATATGTTATGTTATAAAGTGTACTACTTTGATTTAATCAATATTATTTGTAATTAAATAAATGTAAAAATATGCTTTTAAGATTAGTAGTACATGTCAAATGCGCAATTAAGTATGGTTCTTTTTCACAAGGAATGATGAAGTGATAATATAAAACGCTTCTTAATAAAAGGTGACTCCAGCACTCAAACTTCTGCTCGTCTCAAAAATGACAGTTTTCACACCCCAAATATTAAAACAGTGCATTTTTGATCAAGAAGGAATTGCACCTCCTAAAGGTTAATAAGGTTAAAATGAACTAAGAATACTTCGCTCGTCGTTTGTAAAAGCCCTCAAATGTCATTCTCATCCTCTTCCTCATCACTGTAACCGCTGACAAATGTACAAATAACCTTTCCTAGAGTTAACACAGCTCAAATTATTTAGGTCTTGTTGTCACAAAGCCTACAAATGTCGCACTGCAACAATCATGAATACTAGAGGCTTGTAGCTGAAAATCAGGGCCTGGAGCAAACAAATTCAAGCCTGGTGTGCTAAAACATAGATAAGGCACAGGGACAAGTCTTGAACAAACAACTCAACTGCTAAGCAAAGGCTAAATGGCAATTAATGATGTGATTACAGAACAATCACGAGTATAACAGACACCAGCTTAAAGGGATCATTCACTCACTCACACACACACACACACGCACGCACGCACGCACGCACGCACGCACGCACACACACACACACACACACACACACACACACACAATGTGCTTTTTTCATTTACTCACTCTTGTGCAGTCCAAGTTTCTTATTTCTGTTGAACACAAGAGGTGAACTTCTAAAAAATATACAAGCTGCTCTGTATAAAATATTTAAAGCGAATGGCTCTGACTGTAGAAATAAAGCACATTACTTATTATACTCCTAGTCTTCCAAAGCCATCCGCTTGTTAAGTGTGACGTCATGTGATGAGGTGCAGGTGCAAGTGCTCTATCAAACTGTACTGTACAAATAGTGTTAATAAACCTTTACAAAGCAATGTAATACTATCTAAAATCCTGATTGCTATATATACATCCTTGCCCAATATCCGATGGTAAGAAATTTATATTTTTTTTATAAATTGTTAAAATATTGATCTCTATGATGCAGCAAGACCAAAAAAGTGGTCACAAACAAATATTTTTATAATTCAAATGATTAGCTTTTTATATGTCACCACTTAACAACCGCATAGTGCTCCGAAGTAGCTTTACATAAACTAAATGTGGAATTTTTAATGTATTAATTGCTTTTTTATTGTCAATTGAGAAAAAGTTTGTAACAATATCTTAGAAACATCTTGTTTATCTAGAAAAGCCTGTTGGTTGATTTTTGTTTGTTTGATTTTTATTTTTTTTTCCCCCAATGATGTTAGAAAGACTAACTATATGTCTGCTTTCTGTCATTTAAAACATATTGGTTAGACGTATGGCAAGCCCTTTTAACATTTAATCTACAAAACATCCTATTGTAAAAAACACTGTCACAATCGATTTGCGTTGGAACAACATGAAGGAATTAAGTTAACTTATTAGTTTTTAAAAATTTAAGTGGATTGAACTTAAAACAATTAAGTTTTCCTCCAAAACTCAAGAATTGTGTTGATTCAGCTCATTTTACATATAGTTTAAACTAAGAACTAGGAGCTAAGAACTGTTACTAGTAATTAGTTATGAAAGATAATAGAGTCTAATAAATAAGTACTAACATTTAATGAATAAATGCTAGTACACTTCAAAACCGATATCTCAAACTGTTTGAGCAAACCAATTGCGTGTTACGCCATTTACCAAACCATTTACGTTTTGAAACAAAATGGTACGAGTACTGTAAACATAATATTATTTATGTACATATAATAATAATAATAATAATGTAATAATAATTTTATATATATATATATATATATATATATATATATATATATATATATAGAGAAAGAGAGAGAGAGAGAGAGAGAGAGAGAGAGAGAGAGAGAGAGAGAGAGAGAGAGAGAGGGAGAGAGAGTCATATACACATATATTATTTGTGTTAATATCATCAAACATTTAGGGCTCTATCTTACACCCGGCGCAATGTGGCGTAAGGCGCAGCGCAATAGTCTTTTGCTACTTTTAGCTCGGCTCAAGGGTCATTTTGAGGTGTTGCGCCACACTGTTTAAATAGCAAATGCATTTGCGCTCAAATGTGCGCCCATAGGCGTTCTGGTCTAAAAAAGCAGACGTGTTTTGGCGCGTTGCTATTTTAAGAAACTGTAAATAGTCTGTTCTTTAGACCAGAACAAAGTCGGTCTATTGTCTGGCTTACACACTACACACAAGATGTAGAGCAATACGCAAATATCTTTACATATGAAAAAGATATAATATCTTACTGATATATATATATATTCCGTCCTTAAATTAGCAAAAATGCGTTCTGACACACCCTGAAAGCATTTGCGCCCTGTGTTTTGCGCTCAGCGACCTTCAAAATAGAGCCCTTAGAGTATTGGTAACTTGAAAATTTTAAGTTCACTATGAGTTCAGTTAGTTAGTTAGTTAAGTCTAAACAATTATATCTACTTAAATGGATTGGTATTGCTTCATGCATTAAGCCTCATTTACACCACGAGCAACTTGTAGTGGCAAAGTGACAATGGACCATCATCTACGCGAGCGGCAACAACCGTTAGCGACCAGGTGGCCATGTCAAGCAACACGACAAAGTTGAGAATCCTTTTACCTTATGCAAATCAGGAGCAACTTTCTTGAGCCACAGCCAATAGGAGCACCAGTAGAGCTCACGTAATCCTCTCTCAGCTCGCTCAGAGGCTGGTTGTATTTGTGCTGTATAGACCTACACAGACCTGCTTTAGCAGCAGGTTGCCACCCAGAGAGACAGGCAGCTACAAAGTTGCTGCTAGTGTGAATGAGGCATTATAGCTACGTATTAAAAATATAAATAATTCATTCATAACTCATTCAGTTTGAGGTCTGCCTCTGCCTCTGATAACTCTTTATCATTTAGTCATAGTAACTTTTTAAAAACTACTAACTTATTTTATTTAGCGATTTTCAATGTTAGATTTTACAGTGTATCTATTAAATAGGTACTAGTATCTCATTGACCAGAATCAAATAAGCAGTTAATGAATAACAATAGTAGTGTAAAAAGTAGTAGCGGGTGCCGAAAAGTAAATACTGAAAATGGTATTTTTGGTTGAAACAGCAGAATATATGACCCCAAAAGGTATTATTCCGCACGCGGAAAGTGACATGATATTCATTTAAAATAATTTAAGTTGTTGAGTCATATTTTAAAAGTCTTAAAAAAATATTTTATGATATTTACTAAAATATTTAAAAATACATATGTTACAACATGTTTTTGGATTCGGTTTTCAGGCCATGTACATCTAGAACAAAGGTGTCAAACTCTTCAAAAGTTTCTGGAGGGCTGCAGCTCTGCACAGTTTAGTTACAAGCTCAATTAGACACATCTGATCAAACTAACTGAATGCTTTAGGCTTGTTTGATACCTAAAGAGAGGTGTGTTGAAGCAGGGCTGGAATTAAACTCTCCAGGAACTGAGTTTGACACTCTTGATCTAAAATTTCCATTTCAGTGTTAAATGTTAAAGAGGCTTGTCACACAACTGATGTGATGACATAAAAATGGAAGCGAATGAAGTAAAGTTCACAATATGCCACTTTTAAACCAAGTGGCATTCTGTTGGCTAATGTGCCAAATGGCCAACTTTTTTTCTATCCCTCAAATGAAACTTCAAGTTGCTCCAATTTCAATTGGAGTGAGTGAATTTCACCCAACAATTTTTTTTTTCAGACATGACTGCCCTTATACGCCCAAGTCCACATTTAAATCAAAGAAAAAACTATGCTTTTTTAAAACAGTTTGTTATTCATTGTTATTTTGAAATAAGGTTTCTGGAAACACTAATGTTAAATTTTAAATCATTGTCATGATCACTAACAATGTTTTCAGGACATGAATGGTTTGTTTACAAATCTGACACTGTTCTAGACTGAAATCAGTCGTGAAGGTTACAGCTTAAAGGGATAGTTATCATCATTTATTCCCCCTTCTCTTGTTCAAAACCTATTGTAATTTGTTTCTTGTGTTAAACACAAAAGAATATATTTAGAAAAATTCTGGTTGCTGGGACCTATTGACTTCCATAGTCCATAGTTCCATAGTTCACTTTGTCATTTTTTTTATGAAAGTCAATGGGTCCCAGCAACCAGCATTGTTCAAAATAAATTCTTTTCTGTTTAACACAAGAAAGAAACTCCTAAAGGAATAAAGAGAAAATAAATGATGGGGTAAATTTAAAATTTGGTTTAACTGTCCCTTTAAATATCATCATTCTTCTCAAAAAAAAAAATGCATATGTCTTCAAATGAACTGACATGGCATACTTTTTACAATTTTTATGGTGCTTCTATGGCCTCTATGAAGCTTTGGAAACCTCTGTTTGTTGTATTTTCATGCTTTAAATCTCTCCTTTTGTGTCCAACAGAAAAGCAAACATCAATGGCAACAACATGAGAGTGAGTAAGTGATTTCCGGGTGAACTAATCCTACAATTAATGAACAAAACCAAACAAAACAATCACAAGGTTAAAAGAACAGAAGCTCAGTAGCAAGGATGTTAACTACTTTGGCATGTACATGGAAGTAAGGCATTTGTTTCTGAGAGATCGATGAGAAGATGAAATCTTAGTGCAGTAATATGACTCATCCCTCCTCATTCACCGGCGTGCTTGAAGAACCTTCGGCTGAAACCTTGTTAGGGTCTCGGATCACTTGTAAGGAGAGAATGATACACAGTACATAACATGCACATGAAATCCCACCACCGTGACGCTGACGTTTTTCCCGTTACGCTCTCCGAACAGATCGGCAGGCTTTGCCTCAGATAACTACGGAGAGATGGATTGATAATCTCATCTCAAAAGTGTGTTTTGGTGCTCCTCTCCAAGGATTCAAGAATGGGGTAGAGAGCAGACAATCAAACTAACCAGAAGACGGTCGATCTTTCAGAGCGTTAACACAAAACTGGTCGCAGTGTTGATAATGCGATGGCAGAAAGCAAGGAGATGGGGATAGTGTTGGGCCGCCAGGCTCTGGAGCCTCGTACACTCATACCTGGAACAAAGAAAACAAATTTTAGAGAAGTTAAATCCTTTGACTTACTTCAAACCTGTCAATCCTCCCTTATCATCCCGTAAAGGTACAGTTAGTATTTCTCTCGTATTTTTAATCTTTCTGTGAAGGGTAGCAATAAACATTAAAAAGCCAAACCTCCCTATATGCAACCTATACCGCATAACCACCAGGGGCGCCTCTGCGGGCACTCTGGGTTTTGGGAGCGTGTTTGAACAGACATGATAATAATAATAATAACAATAATAATAATAATAATAATAATGATAATAATAATAATAATAATAACAACATATAAGCACGTCGATCTTGGTGGCTTGTCTTTTTAGTTTAAGTTCATTTTATTTATATAGCACATTTCCAACCACCACAAGACTGCACAAAGTGCTTTACAGAGAAAAACAAAAACAAATGGTATGGGCATAATAAACAATAACAGCAATAGGCACATAATATAAGACAGCACAAAAGGTGTAACATAAAGAAAAACTGCAACATTTTGCCTAATTAAAAGATACTACAACAGTTAAAAAGACATTTTTTTAAACATTTTTTTCATTGGTTTTCTTTTAAGCACAACAAATTTTGTCATTCATAAGCATAAACAGTTAGGAAAGCAATCGGATGCTTTCATTATGGATCTGTGCATTTTTAAAGCGACACCCTCTGTTACTTAATGTAATTAAACAATCTAATAAAAATCTAAATGAAAGATTCATTCGCTGCTCTTTGTTCAGAAGGTTTAATTTATACAGTGACGAAAAGGTTAATGAGATTTGTTAACTTGATTCAATGTCTTTATAATAGCTATTAATTTTAATAGGCTGAACAGTTTGCTAATTTATTTGCAGCCTCTTCTAATGTATACTATTTATTCTATCCTTTGTAAATAAATATAATAATAATAATAATAATAATAATAATAATAATAATAATAATAATAATAATAATGTTTATTATTACAATGAAAACATATTTTAGGTGTGTGTATGGGGGGGGGGGGGTAACTAATATATCTTACTTTTTGTAATGCCACCTCATACGATATTAAAAGAAAAAAAAAAAACGTATAAAAGTTATGTAATAAAATTAGTAGCCCCTTCACACTACATAAATACAGTTGAAACCAGAATGGCATCATGAAGAAAGACCAATGTGTAGAAATACTGAAGCAACCTCTCAAGACATCAGCTAGGAAATTAAAACTTGGCCACAAATGGGTCTTCCAAACAGACCATGACCCTAAGCATACTGCCAAATTTGTAAAAATGTGCTTTAAAGACAACAGAGTAAATGTTTTGGAGAGGCCATCACAAAGCCCTGTTCTCAATCCTATAGAAAATTTGTGGGCAGAGTTGAAAAAGCTTGTGCGAGCAAAACAGCCTACAAATCTGACTCAGTTACACCAATTCTGTCAGGAGGAATGGGCCAAAGTTTCTTTAAATTATTGTGAGATACTTGTGGAAGGATACCCAAAACATTTGACTAAAGTTATACAGTTTAAAAGCAAAGCTAAAAAATACCAAGGAAAGGAATGTAAACTTTTGACTGTCTAGAAATTAATAAAAAATTCTGTCATTATTTTGGCATTTAGTAAATGTAAATCATTTAGGTAATCCTAACGGACCTAAAATAGTAAATGTTTAGTATAATTTACCATCAGACATTTAAAAAAAATGATTATGATCCTTTTTTTAGAGTGTATGTAAACCTCTGGTTTCAACTGTATAATTAATTTTTCCCTATAAACATTTGTGTTTTAGAAAAAAAGTATTTTTAATATCTATTTGTCAACTACCCATATACAGTATGTTCAGGAGGTCTTAAAAGGCACCCGCTCTGTCCCATTTTGCAAGATGTAAAATAAGTCTTTGATGTTCTTCGAGTTTGTGTGTGAAGTTTCAGCTCAATATACTCCACAAATAACTCTTTGAAACCCCATTTAGGCTTTGATCCAAATTGTGCCGTTTTGGTGACTTTTGCTTTATGCTCCTAGCCCTCTTATCAAAAGAAGGTGGAGCTACAAACCTCTATCTGTCACCGTAGCAGCAGATTCAAAACAGGACTACAGGACACATTATCTGTGTGAAAAACTGTAAATGTCAAAAGAAGTGGCTCAGAAGACATTTATAACTCTCCACATTTATAATGCATCTTAGCCACTGACAATATCTTTAGCAGGTATTGTGAAAACTTTAATGGCAGACAGCTGCTTCACAATCAGGGCTGTTTATGCTAATGAGGGGGAGATTGTAACTAATGGGTGGAACTTTCCACTCTAATGACACGTACAAAGGGAGAATGTCAATCAAAGTGTTTCTGCAGACTTTTTAAAAAAAAAATTTTAATAAATTTTTTTTAATAGTCAGCTAAATATTAATTCTAGTGCACTTTTTGCAATATATCTGTCTGTATTTTAGGGGTGGGAAAAAAATGGATATTGCTATGTATTGTTGTGCTTTCTGTCACAATAAATAATCATTACACTAACGACCAATATCAATATTTCATTACACAAAGTTATTAATTTACTCGTTGTTAGTGTCTGTCACTACCCAATATCTACCATTCTGTTTGCGGGGGGCGCTGTTCAAATAAATAGGGGTAAAGTGGTGGAAGCTGCGGCCAGTAAAGAACACAAGTTAACTAACAACAACAGAAGAAGCGTGGAAAAAAGGAATAGTGAGAAGGATGGCGGAAAATAATGAAAAACAAATCAAAGACCAACCTGCTAGTTTCCACTCTAAAGTGTAGAGACACTTCGGGTTTTACGAGACAGTCGACAGATAGGCAATGGATAAAAACCATGCAATCTGCAAGAACTGCTTTGCAAAGATAAAATATAACAGCAACACGACGAATCTGCAAATGCACCTCGTTCGCTATCATGGTGAGCTACTCTCAGGTGATAATGAGGGCAAACCAAATCAGCCGACAATCACTACTGCATTCAAAGCAAAGAGTATCACTGAGTATCACTAAGTCCTTTGCTAAATTTATTTGCAAGGACCTTCACCCTTACAGCGTGGTCAGGTATGATGGATTTTGCAGAATTTTGGCAACACTGGAACAGAGGTAAGAGATACCGAATCGTCACCACTTTACTGACAAAGTCATCCCTACATTGTATGCAGATATCAGGGGCAAAGTGAAGTGTGCGTTCCAGGCTGCTAAACGGGTTGCACTAACCTGTGATGGTTGAATGTCAAGGGCCACCGAGTTCTTCGTAACTATTTTTACAACTTTTATCTGTCTTGCTGTATAGTGTTTACATTAAAGACCAGCGGGGAGTGGGTTATTATGCTAATGCATATTTCTTTGCACAATGTTGGAAATGTTGGCATTAATAAATGTATAAGATTTCCTTATTTTGGGTATTTTTTCTTTTTGAGTTACAGATATCGTGATATATCATTAATGCAATTTCTTCCAATATATTGAATATCGTAGATATTGCAAATCGTGATATTATCATTATCGTGGGCCTCATATCGCCACAGAATTGAATCGTGCGTTACCTGTATCATAACACCCCTGCTGTTTTTACTTTCAGAATCTGCAATATGATTAAAAAAACACACAGGCAAGTTTTTTTTCAGAAAAATACTGTTATTCTGTTCACAAAATAATCTGAACTTTAATTTAAAGTAAACTCTCGTTGGAACGAAAATCTAAGAACACTATCAATGGCTCAATAATTATGAATAATCATGAAATATACACTACATACAGTTGAGGGCAAAATAATAAGCCCTCGTGGGCAATATTTATTCTTTTTCAAGTAGTTCTCAAGTGATATTTAACAAGTTCAGACCATTTTTTCTATGATATTTTTCTCTTCTGGAGAAAGTCTAATTTGTTTTATTTCAACTAGAATAAAAGCAGTTTTCATTTATTAAAAACAAATTTAAGATCAAAATTAATAGCCCCTTAAACTGTGTGTTTTTTTTTATTGGCTACAAAACAAGCTATTGTGTATAGAAAATTGTAAAAAGTTCTTTATAATAAACTGAAATTGGATGATGACGCAGTGGCGCAGTAGGTAGTGCTGTTGCCTCACAGCAAGAAGGTCACTGGGTCGCTGGTTCGAACCTCAACTCGGCTCAGTTGGCGTTTCTGTGTGGAGTTTGCATGTTCTCCCTGCCTTTGCGTGGGTTTCCTCCGGGTGCTCCGGTTTCCCCCACAGTCCAAAGACATGTGGTACAGGTGAATTGGGTAGGCTAAATTGTCCGTAGTGTATGTGTAAATGAGTGTGTGGAAGTTTAAAAAAAAAAGAGAAGAAAAAAAGAGTTTAAATTTAACAGGAGAGCTAATAGTTCTGACTTCAAATGTATATATGTAAACTTTATTAGGTACACCTGTCCAACTACTCGTTGATGCAAATTTCTAATCAGCCAATCACATGGCAGCAATGCATTTAGACATGGTCAAGACAATCTGCTGCAGTTCAAATTGATCATCAGAATGGAGAAGAAAGGAGATTTAAGTGACTTTGAATCTGGCATAGTTGTTGGTGCCAGAGAGGCTGGTCTAAGTATTTCAGAAACTGCTGATCTACTAAGATTTTCACGCACAACCATCTCTAGGGTTTACAGAGAATGGTCTAAAAAAGAGAAAACATCAAGTTAGATCATATCATATAAAATATAAAAGCATATAAAATATCACAAAATATCTTTTGGACTCTAATAATGTTCACAATCTCTTTATAAAGGAAAAGCACATAATCAAATCAGTTTTCCTGTGCACCTCACGATTTTTTCAAAATCCTTCAAAATTTCAATTTAGGAGCAAACATGTTCCTGAGAGAATAAAATAAACACCAAGGCCTGATTGTTGTGAATTTAAGGATGAAATTACATCTTTATCAGTGTTTAGCTCTACATACGGCAGCGGGCAGTCTTGTGCTCTGAGCAGATTTACATCGACTTCCAGTAGACGCTCGCCGAGCACTTTTCCCCCCGCAGTTTAAACGACTACCTAATTAATGCTATACGAGGTTGGAAAGCCTTGGCTATTGGCAACAGCTAATAATTTCCAACATTAACAACCGAAAAAGCCATGGCTTCTCAGTGAAAACGAGACATTGCCGGGCCATTAAATGAAAAATGCGAACAATAAGACACAGAGAGCAGTTGCATCAGCCTGTGACGCTGTTTCCATGGGGGAGCAGAGAGAAAGAGAGACCAGCGGGCAGAGATAGATGGAGAAAGCTTGGGCTAGTTAATAAAGATCAGACTGCTTAGCCCAGTGGAGAATAAAAGGTGTACGAGGAGGACACATCAAATCAGTGAGAACTCATTTAGAGAGGCGCATCGAACTCTGTGGGCCGCGGTAACAGAGAGTCTACTCGGCAATCTGCACCTGCGCCGTTCACTCGAGGGAACAGGAGGAGAACATTATGAGGTCAACTGTGCATTGTTTATTTTATAGGGGCCTGGGTGTTTTAATATCCCTTTGGCATTGAATATTTATCTTTCACATCATAGGCCTTGAAAGAAGAGGGCTTTGCACACGCCTGCAGGTTGAACCCATGTACGGAAATGTAATATTGCGTTAGACGTGGAATAAATGAGGCGAAATATGAACAACCGATACTATCAAATTCATAAATCACTCTTTTTTTTTTAAGTAACACCATTCAACTGGGACTCCAAGAGGGCAGAGGTTTTTTCATGCCTTTCTATAGCTTGTTGTGTTTTATTTAAGTCCTAAAGCATTATGATGTTCATAACAACTAAATAAGAAAAAAAAAAAAGATGGGAAAAGCATTGATTAAATGCTTTAGACGCTTCAGCATCAGCACTTTTGGTCATGTCTGATTCAGAAATATTTTATTTTGTAGTTTAGTTGAATTATAAAGTGAAACTGGATGGTAAACTATTAAAAAATGTATCAATCTGATAAATCCGGAATATATTGGATAGTGAAAAAATGTGCATACCAGATATTTTGACTTTGTTTCACACTATTCAATATTCTGAGTTATGTCAGTGAAAAAGATACGTTTTTTTTTTCAGACATGGCACACATACGTGTTTTCCCTATTGTTATTGTTACAACCCGATGGTTGTCATGGTTCATCTGTTTCTCTGCTCTGCCTAGAAAACATCTGATTGGCCACTTCTGACTAATTGCTTGCTCTTGATTAGCCTACAGTATATCACACTTGGTTTAAATGCCTGGACCGTACCCGAGTTCGATTGTCTCCCTTGCCACCTTCCTGGTTGGGTTGTGTTCACATTTTTTCCCTTCTGAACCCCGGTACGCTTGCATCATCGAGCATTGTTTTGTTTACTGCAGTTGATAGGTGACGGTCGTAAGCATTATATTTCCATACAATTAATATTTTACCGAATTTGGTATGCTAAAGTTGTCCGTATTGAATAAGTGTGTGTGTGTGAGTGTGTGACAGTAAAGACCTGGTGAACAGTAAAGACCTGGTGAAAAAAAAAACAGTAAAGACCTGGTGAAATGACTGACAAATCAGCTCTGGACATTTGAGTGTTTACATGCTGATATAAGACAAATAAGTTTCACACGTTTAGGTAGGTGTGCAGTAAACAAAACTGCATCAGTTGTTCAAACAGACATTCAGAACGATTAGATTCATATTACAGTTTAATATTCACAAACACTAGACCAACAAAATATCTTTAGTCGCATAATGCTACTTTTGAATAATTCATCCTAGATGACCAAATTCTGTGTTGTTTTCCAATATGAAGCTAATTTTGTGACTCATTTGCAGTAGTGTAAAGTAACAAATTATAAATACTCCAACTACTGCAATCAAGTAGTTTTCTTGGTAATTGTAACTTACAATTTAGTTTTAAAAATGTCTACTTTATTTTTTCTTGTCTATGGTGATTGCCTAAAGTAGAAAAGCAGTCCTGTGATTCCTGTCCAATCAAATCGTAAAATCAAACCGAAGTAAATACCAAACAACCTCAAGCCATGAGCGCTTTTTAAATGCAGCAAACCTTTTTTAAGCATGAAAAGTGTCCTAAAAGATGTCCAAAACCTTTACACGCGTGCCTGTATGACAAGAGTGCCCAAACTTGGTCCTGGGGGGCCAGTATTTTGATGGGGACTCTATACTGCTGAGTGAGCGACATCTTTCTGGCCTTCTAACCATCCCCATGTCATAATTCGCTTCATCACTTTGTCTCTTCTTAACCATCAGCTGATGTGTGGTCTGCAGGTGGATGCTGCATAATAGTGGTGGATGGGGAAATTCACCCCAAAAATGTGTAAAGCGATTAGAGTGTCCAGAAAAGTGCTATGTAAATGTAATGCAATATTAATATTATTGTTATTATTATCATTATTATTATTATTATTATTATTATTAGTATAACTGAAATCGCTAAACGGCCTTAAACAATAACAAAATGGAACAAATGAAGTATGGAAGGAAAGGCCGAATGAATAATAGAAGGACCGAACTAATGAAGGAAGAAAGAGCTGAACAAACAAAAGAATAAAAGGAACGAAGGAACAAACAAATGAAAAACAAATGAACAAACAAACAAACAAACAAACAAACTAATGAATGAAAGGACAGAATGAACAAACTATGGAAAAAGGAATGAACGAAAATAGGAAGATCACTAAATGCACTACAGAATCTAAATGCATCATTTTTTTACATTGTAATACTCACTACTCTTGGGTACTTTTACTTTACTTGTACTACATTTTTTGGGCAAGTAAAGGTACTTTTACTTGAGTATGATTTTACAGTACTCTTTTCACCACTGCTCATTTGTTACCACACTGCAGAAATCATACAGACAGGTAATCATCAAGACAGATGCAACTGATGTAAAAATGTTATATTCTTACTTAGTTTGTGTATGTTGATGGGCTCGGTCGGCATGCCTTCTCCTCCGTCGCTCAGTGCTCGTATCTGTATGACGTAATCGTCATCTGCAGGTAGAGTGAGCTCCACCGAGGTCAGATTTGTTGTTATTGTGTTAATTTCTTTATGGCGGTTCCTTCTGTAAGACACCTGGAGAGAACAAATGAGAGAGAGGTGCTAACAACCACTCAGATTTATTCCGCACAAGCTATTTTAGTCGATAAAGCAAAGCAGAATCAAATTAGCATACACCGTAGGGGAACGGCGGTGTTTATTAGCACACCTGCTGTTTTCGCTATACTGTGCACCATATACATTCTGCAGATCTGCGGTAGAGATTTGTTTTATTTTTAATTTCCGTTACCACCAAAGTGTACAATCGACCAACAACAGGAATAATATAAGGACTTTAATGTAGTTGTTTCCTAAATGCTCGCAGGAATAGAAGGCGCTAATAGGATTATGTGAAAGTGAAGCCCTATGGTTGAGCTCTGAGGTTTTACACTGCTGGGAAAACACTTACCTGATAGCCAGTAACATCAGACTCCATCTCCAGGGAAATGACGGGCTCCCAGTGAACCGTGAGCTTGGAGCCAATCAGGTTCCACTCCACGTTTAAAGGTGGCTGGCCGGGTGCTGAGAGGAGACACGGACAGCGGTTACTGGATGAGTGACGACAGAGACAGAAGAGGTGCCTGACTGTCTGTTTACTCTTAATCTGCTAGACTGAAACTGATAGTTGAATTAAAAATGATGGTTATGTCATTGCGAATACACTCCTAAAATGACTTTTGTTGCTTGTATAAAATACAAACAACTCATTTTTAAGTTTTGTTTTGGGACATCTAAATCGTTTTATGTTCAATAAACTTAAATTTGTAGAAATTATTAAGGTAACTTAATGAATTTGTGTCGGGACAACATGAAGAAATTGTGGAGAACATTTTTAACACTGCACATGCAGTTGGAAGTCAGAATTATTAGCCCCCTGAAATATTAGTCCCCCTGTTTATTTTTCCCCCATTTTCTGTTTACCGGAAAGAAAATTTCTTTAACCCATTTCTAATCATAATAGTTTTGATAAATCATCTCTAATAACTGATTAATTATTATTATTTTTTTTACATTTTTTTATGACAGTAAAAAAATATTACTAGATATTTTTTAAGACACTTCTTAACAGATTAAAGTGACATTTAAAGGCTTAACTAGGTTAATTAGGTTAACTAGGCAGGTTAGGGTGACTAGGCAAGTTATTGTATAATGATGGTTTGTTCTGTGGACAAAGTGGGGGTCAGGACCCCCTAATGGGTAGCAGGACAAATGAAGGGGGGGGGGGGGGGGGGTGCCTGATGATTTCCAAAAATCTTTTTATTTTTTTTCTTTAAACCATAAGAATTACCATATTTTATCCATAACCAACTGAAAAGAAAAAATAGTCATTTTACTACATACTACTCTATATAGTGTAGCTTATAGAAGCTTAGTTACTAGTTCTATTGGATTGCAATCCCTGGGATAATTACATTTTATTAAAGACACAGCAATAGCGTCAGATGCAGCAGATTGATTTTATAACACCAGGTTAAACTTTCTGGCACATTTACAGCACTGACATACATTTAAAAAAATCAACAAAGAATAGACTTGGGTCTATTGGTGTGTGTCCGCCATTGCATGCAAGGTTTCTGTTTTATAACCACCTCAGAGGATTTTGGGGGTCGTGAGTCACTGGTATTGTTATTTTGGGCATCGCCGGCTGAAGAGTTTGGGAACCCCTGCGCTAGACTATCGAAAATATATACAGCCTAAAGGGGCTAATAATTTTGACCTTAAAATGTCTTTTTTAATAAGAAATTGCTTTTATTTTAGCCAAAATAAAACAAATCAGAATTTCTCAAGAAGAAAAAATATTATCAGACATACTGTGAAAATTTCCTTGCTCTGTTAAACATCATTTGGGAAATATAAAAAAAAAAAAAAAAATCAAAGGGTGTTGTAATAATTCTGACTTTAACTGTACACTCAAAAAATAGTAATTAAATACTCCAGCTGACCCTCCTCGTGAGTTTTTTTCTGACCGTTACTTGTAATCTATTGTGTTTCCCATGGTGACACGTCAAGTTTTTCAAGTGACCAACCAGCACCAATGATATATATATATATATATATGATATATATATATATATATATATATATATCTCATTTTGTTTCTTTTTGGTCTTTACTGTAAATATCGACAAATGTTCTCATTATATTGTAAAATTTATGATACTCTGAATCCAGATACATGATATAACATATATTTTTTTGGCAATGATGGTATTATTTGCTGCATGACAGTTAATGGGCGCCGCTGTAGTTTCAGGAAAGAATACAGCTGCGATTGAAAGTTAACAAGAAGTATTTCTATTATTTATTAAATTATACATTAATTGTATTTTATTAGCTAGATGGAATACAGCTCATGTAGATATTGACCTTATTCTTCAACGCGGAAGTGCACCCATTTTCATTATTGTTTTAGTTGCCCATAGGAGAAATGACTACGAATAATAATAATTGCCAGAAAACGGTCAAACTACTTGCTTTACAAACAAGTGTTTGCATGACTATACAGACAAAGTAGAATAATGTGCCCATACAAGAAGAATAAGGTGAATAGCATAATTTAATAAATTGTATTTTATTAGATTTATGATATATTGACGTGAAAATCCTCAGCTATATATCATTTAGATTAAGGCATATAGATTAAGGCTACTAATGTCAATATACCATATTTTTGTGACACTGTACAACAAATTTTGTACAACAAAACTGGTCACACTTCAATATAGACAAAAAAAGCTATTTTTTGAGTTTATGTAAATATATAGCACACAACTTTCTTATTATTAGGTCCTTTTGAATAGGGTTGTCAAAAAAACTTTGATATTAAAAAAAATCAGTTTTCCTCTATTGTTTGAGCGCTGTTGAGCATGTTGTTAAACACTGCTAATTGGCTATTGAACACATGAACATTATGGCCAATCAGTGGTGTTAAAGGGATAGGTCACCATGACATTTAAATTTACTTGCCTTAAATGGTTTTTATCCCTTTAGTGAGTTTCCTTTTTCTGTTGAAAACAAAATAAGCTATTCTGAAAAATGCAAGAAACCTGTAACCACTGACATGTACAGTAGAACAAATTAATACTATTGAAGTTGATGATTACAGGTTTACAACATTTTTCTAAAACTTATTTTGTGGTTAAGAATCTGAAACAGGTTTGTGAGAAGTGAAGGGTGAGTAAATGATTGCGTTTTTTGGGGTGAATTATCCCTTTAAGAATGTTATCAATGTTAGTGGAAAGGACATTAACATAAATTTTTGTGTCAGTCGGTACCAAAGTTGAACATTTTGATGACCCTACTTTTCAGCTTTATTCTTACAATGTGTGAGAAAAAGAGCAGAATGAAAAATCTTTGAAACTTGCACATCCTTTTGGATGTTTTTACATTTTAATTAATTTATTCCTTGATTAATAATGTTGGCTTTGTTAAAGGTCAAATGATGTTTTTACAGTTTAAAATAAAAATTCTTTGTATTTGGTGTAATTGCAAGGCATTTATGTGATTAAAATGCTTTCAGAAAGCTCGTGGTTCAGAAAAGCACTGTTTGCTCTGATTGGTGTTGTGATTGGCTGAGTACTTTAAGATTGTGCCAGATATGTTATGCCTCTCATTAAAATTTCAAAGCAGAGTATGATCCAGAAAATGCAGATGATCTATTTTAAACAAATCTACCATGACTACCATCTCTAACAGATTAGTAAGGTTTTATTTTACAAAAATAGCAGTTTTTTTCTTGACCAACAAAACAGAAAGAGTCTCCACAACGTTGGGGCTTCTGTTAGAAAGAATATATCTTTGGGTTTGAGACTTTATGGATTCTTTCTATGCAGGAACAACTGCAACACTTCAAAGACCCAAAGATCATATGACCCCTTTTAATGCAATCAATCAATCAATCAATCAATCAATCAATCAATCAATCAATCAATCAATCAATCAATCAATCAATCAATCAATCAATCAATCAATCAATCAATCAATCAATCAATCAATCAAAAGTGTCAATAAACTATTTTATATTACGCACATTAAATAGTCACATGCAGCACCATAAGGACACGAATTCTACAACTGAAAACCAATTAAAAACCCAATAAAACAAACAAAAACAAACAAAAGCAGCATTTATTCTTAGTTCATATGTTTTCATGTCGATAGTAATACTTCAAATTTTTAAGCATTTAAAATAAATAAATAAATAAATAAATAAATAAACATATAAATAAGTTATTATTTTGACACCATTTTCTCAGGTTTGACCTATGGAGCAAATGCTTTTCTTGCTTTCTGCTTTTGAGCACTGCAGGCTAAATGAATAAAATGATGCAATTATAGTTATGTGGGTGTATTGGAATGGATAGATATTGTTAGTTTTGTATAAATATATAGTGAAAAATGTGTAAAGTATGTTCAGTGTGAGCGTTTTTCTGACACATTACAAAAATAACAAAGCATTAGAATGAGTGTTGTTTCTAATCAATGACTTGTCCAAGACTGTGGTAATTCAAAATGAAGTGACATTATGTAAACTGTATTTAAAGTGTTAAATGTTTGTTATTGAACTCTGTATCAGTGATACATTCATTTTTCTTAGGCATGGACAAATTAATTGATCGAAAATGACTGTAAATGCATTTCTCATGTTACAAAACCTCTCTAATTAAAATAAATGATCTTTCAAACGTTCAACTAAGGAATTTAATGAAGAAAACTTAAGTCATAGCAGTTGTTCTCAATATTGATAATTACACACAGAAACTTTTCTTGAGCTGCAGATCAGCAATATGTAATATTTTCGTTTTATGATAAAAATATATAATTTCAAATAGTAATGTACATTGCTAAGAACATAATTTGTACAATTTTTTGGGGATAATTTGGACCTAATTTTTTGAACCAGAATTGTAAATAATTCCTTTGAATAAGATATTGTCCTATCCTAATAAAGTATAAACCAACGTAAAGCCTATTTATACAGCATTTAGATAATGCAGAATGTAATTTATTTTTGTGGTCACATAGATGTACATTGTACATGTAAACAGTGTTAGGGAAAGTTAATTTTGAAAGTAATGCATTACAATATTGAGGTACTCCCCAAAAAAGTAACTAGTAGCGATACTTAGTAACTGTTTATGGAAAGTAATTGTTTATTTTTTTAAAAAACTTTTTTACATTACTTTTGAGTTACTTTTAGGTCAGTAAAATCACTGTCCTTTGATACATTCCCCTGTTCTTTCATGTGTTTAAAATAATGAGAATACTTTCATCACAGAAATGTAAGGCTCTGCCATCTTGGTTTCTGTCTGACCTCATTCTCTCATTGGAGTGTGATTCAACATGATTACACTAATTTTATTTAAGCAAATTGGTTACAAAAAAAGCATACATTTTTAAAAATGTAACTCAAATACAAGTTTAACAACTTTAATAATCCCAGCAGGGGCAATTAAATTAGGGCAGTAGCATCATGATACAACTAGGACATAAAGAGATAAATCATTTGCAAACAATATAAAACTAAATAAAAACAGCTACAAGGAAAGATCCCTACATTAAAAAAGTAAAACTTACTAAAATGTACTGTAAGTTTATAAAGCCTTATTGCCTCAGGAACAAAAGTAAATTTATATCTATTAGAAGAGCATTTAGAGCGCAATGTGGCGCAAGGCACGACACAATTGTTGTATGCTAGTTTCAGCTTGGAGCAAGAGTCGTTTAGACGTTTTGCGTCACGCTGTTTATATATGTATATATATATATATAAGGATATATATGTGATATAAATATAAAGGATTAAAATATTACAAAACATATTATTTTCTAGCCTACATAAATAAAAAAAAAAACTACTGCCGTCATGCCTTCTTCATCTCAGGGGTCTTTTTCAGTTTATTCTTAACAATTGGCTTTTGTATTATGCTATTATTATTAACAGTATTATTTATTATATCCATATTTATATTTGTTTTATTAAAAACAAGCTTAGATTTGCCCAGCTGTCAGGTTTTAGACCTGCACAGCATGTGTATTTGGGTATAACTCATTTTTTGACCACACTTCGTTATTGTTGTTCATTTATTCGTTTGCTGGAAATTAGAACTGAAGAATTAGTTTTGAAACAAATCTTTGCGCTTAGCAAACGAGATTAATTATTTATAGGCTAATTGATGTCTTTGTGTACAAGGTTTCCCTATCCACGAGAGTGAAAATGAATGTAGATAATGAGAATTGGCTCATCTCTCATCCTCGTGCTGCAGACGCTCTGTTTAACTGTTTTCTTGCTAGTGAAGTGTTCAGTTTTTCAACTTACGAAGTCGTCATGTAAATATCAAATGGGCTATGGCGCGATGCAACTGACTCTTAAAGAGAAAGGGAGATGAGAATCTGATTGGTTTATTTTCAAAGCACACCTATAACTCATTAAGAAAATAAGCCGACCCTTTTAGACCATGCGCCACGGCGCAAAGTGGATTTTCCGTCCTTATATTAGCAAAAGTGTATTCTGACACACCCCTAATGCGTTTGCGCCCTGCGCTTTGCACTTTGCACATGGGTGCGTCAAAATAGAGCCCTTAATGTTTCTATACCTTTTTCCAGAGGGCAAGAGTACGAAAAAAAAACTTCTCACATCTCATATCACACATTTTCTTATAATTTTCCTTATCATCTGCTGTTCATGTAACTCTGCTAGACTCCACAGAGGCAAACCAATAATCTTGGAGGTTATTATTGCTACTATTATTACTAGGGATGTCCAGATCCGATCACTTGACCTCCTGATCAGGACTCAAATATATATGTATATATATATATAAAAATAGAAAACACGGAAGCAGCTAGAAGCGGAAAGTGCAGATGTCTGCGGTCTGGAGGTATTATAAAGTTGATGACAACAACATTAGCCCCTTTCACACATACAGATTTTTCTGGAAAATTACCGGCAATTGTCCGGAAAGGTCTGTATGTGTGAATAGGCCCTTTTTGAAAATACTGGTAAATTCGTTCCGGCTATTTTCCGGAAGGAGAAGTTGTAACATTACCGGTAATTTGCCGGAATGCTGCACTGTGTGAAAGCAGAAGGAAGATTGCCGGAAAGAGCGCGTTCACGTCTAGAATGCGCTGACGTAAGACATCTACTCCAGCCAATCAGAACATTCAGATACATTCACATCCATGCTGTTAAGGAAAAAAAAAATCTTTGAATATTTTTCCAGTCACATTTAGCTGCTAAATGTTAGTCAGATAACGTTTCAATATTCCTTCTTAATGCCAACTGTGTAAAAATGATCTATAAAATGCTTATGATAAGCCATCGTTTGTTTAACTTTAAGCTCTGACGCGTGTGCACATGAAGCAGCACACACACATTTTATGAACATTTTGACATGTAAAAGTGTTTCTCTATATGCTTTCATCGAAGTTGTTCACAATACTTATTCATTCATAGAGTTTGTAATGTGGTCAAATGTTTACAATTACAACAAGTGCAGTTGTTTAGAGGTAATTTCTGGTAATGATGTCAGAATTTACCTGTATTTTGAAATGAATGCTTGAATGGTCTTTTCTGGAAAAATTCTGTAACATCCTCGCATGTGTGAGCAAAGCTTTTTAATTTTCTGGTAAAGTCATTCCGGAAATTTTCTGGATATTTACAGGTATCACTGTGTGAAAGGAGCTATTGTGATAGCAAACTTTGATATATGTAAACTTGGGTATTTTAAGTTGATTAAAATACTATTTGTTTTTATATTAAATTATTTTATATATGTTTACTGTTGCACTAAAATCCAAAAGTGAAGAAATTAAGTCATTTTTTACTTGATTGTTTAAGCTACCTCACAGAAATGCTCTGCTTGATAACAGAGTTGTTGAATGTTAAAATAAGGTAAATTAAATAAAAAATAAGGATCATCCTTAATCTGTTTTTTCGCTCTTCTTTATTCTTTTTTTGTGTATTAGAGAAGTATCGGATCGGGTTTCGGTAACGGTAAATACTCAAAATCAAATGACTCAGACTCGACTCGAGAGCATAAAAAACTGATTGGGACATGCCTAATTATTACTTTTAGTGATATTAAAATTTTTTTTTTTTTAAAGCAATGCGTTACTTTACTTAATACTTAAAGTTATATTATTATGTAACTCGCGTTACTTGTAATGTATTATCCTAATACTGCATGTAAATATGTAAAAATAATACAAAACATGGCTTTGTCATGGTGTTACAGTGGTGCAATGGGTAGCACAATTGGCTCAGTGGAGTTTGCATGTTCTCCCTGTGTTTGCGTAGGTTTCCTCCGAGTGCTCTGGTTTCCCCCACAGTCCAAAAGTTTGCGCTATAGGTGAATTGGGTAAGCTAAATTTTCCATAGTGTATGTCTGTTACTAAGAATGTATGGATGTTTCCAAGTGATGGGTTGCAGCTGGAAGGGCATCGGCTGTGTAAAACATATGCTGGATATAGTTGGCGGTTCATTCCACTGTGGCGATCCCTGATTATTAAAGGGACTAAGCCGAAAAGAAAATTATTGAATGAATGAATGGCTCCGTTTTGATTTCAATATCCTGTTCAACAACAAATCTGACAATTCTAAATACAGTACATTACCTGAAAAAAAGCAAATAATCATCTTTTATTCCAACAAATTCCAACTGAATGAATTGCTTCACCAAGGGTATACTCACGGGACTTTTTAGTGGTCACATTGATGGTTGGAGACAGGGGACCAGTACCCGCTGTGTTGAAAGCGCTCACTGTCAGGAAATACTGCGTGTATCCTCTCAGACCACTGATGTTCACCTTGTCCTGATTGGCAGACACCCTGACTTTGCCCATGGTCTCTGGTTTTGTATCGTCCTCCCAGTACACCACCTGATTTTAAAAGCAAGAGAGAGAAAACAAAAGTCTCACAGATATAATGCTACGCTGCCATTATTTTCAGTGCAGGAAGCATTATACAGGAGGATTTCACTCTTTTATTTTATATCTCCACACTGTGGGTTTGGGGTGACATGGATGAAGAGTTTCATAGAGGAATGTGTAATGTGTTCTCTGTGTCCTCAAAAAGGATAAAGGCGAGTCATTTTTTTCGCCCATACTGCAGTGAGGGCCTCCTATGCATACGGTAAGAACCGTGAACCCTATTCTTATTTCCAAATGGAGCGTTTCCATGGGTACAGAAGGAACTTTGAGGTGCAGCGTGGGAGATGACAGGCTCTGACAGAAGCCATGGTGCATTTCAAAAAACGGACAGAGAGTCATTTCCATTTAGAAGGAGGGACGCACCTCATAGCCCAACACTCTTTCTGTTGAAACGCTGAGGATGTGCCAGCTCACTTCAATTTCAGTGGCGGAGATGCTTCTGGCCCACACGCCGTCTGGAACACCACTGGGTTCTGAGAGGAAAGATAAAAAGAGAGAAAAAAAGATTAATGAATAAAGACAGAAGAGAGGAAAAGAGACGGGATGATACCAGACAAGCTGGGACTAGATAACATAAGCTGAGAGAAAATGAGAAAAGAAGAAAGATGAAAACAAAAGCGATGAGTAGAGATAGATGAGGAGAAAGAAAAATTACAAAATGAGGAGCGATGAGACAAAGCAAGATGAAAAGATACAAGGTAAGGAGAAATTACAAAAATACAAATTGAGAAGAGATGAGACAAGACAAAATAAAAAGAAATGAGATGAGACAAAACAAAAAGAGCTAAGAGACAAATCAACATGAGAAGATAGAAGACACAAATGAGTAGGTAAAAGATGAGAAAAAGCAAGATAAAAAGAAAAAAAACATTAGATAAGAAAAATTAAACTGAGACAAGACGAGAAAAGACAGATTGAGGAGACAAAAATGATTGAGGAGACAAAACAAAAAAGACAAGATGAGAAGCGATGAGACGAGACAAAGAGAAGAGACGAGATGAAACAAGACGAAAAGAAATAACAAATCAAGATGAGAAGATAGGAGATAAAAATGAGAAGGTAAGAGATGAGACAAAGCTATATATATATATATATATATATATATATATATATATATATATATATATATATATATATATATATATTATATATATTATATATTAATTATTATTAGATAAGACAAGTTGAGCTGAGAAGAGACAAGACGAGAAAAGACAGATTGAGGAGACAAAACAAAAAAGACAAGATGAGAAGAGATGAGACAAGACCAAAAAGAGACAAGATGAGATGAGTCAAGACAAAAAATAAGAGACGAGATGGGACTGGACAAGACAAGACAAAAAGAGCTAAAAGACAAATCAATATAAGAAGAGAGGAGACAAAAATGAGAAGATAAGACACGAGACAAAGAATTATAAAACAAAGAGATGAGATGAGACAAGTAGAGCTGAGAAGAAACAAAATGAGAAAAGACTAAATAAGGAGACAAAACAAAAAAGGACAAGATGAAAAGAGATGAGATGAGACAAAAAAGAGAGGAGATGAGATGGGACAAGAAAAAAAGAGAAGAGACGAGATGGAACAAGACAAGACAAGACAAGACAAAAAGAGCTAAGAGACAAATCAAGATAAGAAGATAGGAAACAAAAAATGAGAAGATAAGAGATGAGACGAAGCAATAAAAAAAGAAAAGAGATGAGACAAGTAGAGCTGAGAAGAGACAAGACAAGAAAAGACAAAATAAGGAGACAAAAAAAGTCAAGATGAAAAGAGATGAGACAAAAAAGAGAAGAGATGAGATGAGATGAGACAAGACAAAAAGAGCTATGAGACAAATCAAGACGAGAAGATAGAAGACAAAAAAAGAGATGAGACAAAGCAATATAAAAATAAAAAAGATGAGACAAGTAGAGCTGAGAAGAGACAAAATGAAAAAAGACAAAATATAGAGACAAAAAAAAGACAAGATGAGAAGAGATGAGACAAGACAAAAAAGAGAAGAGACGAGATAGGACAAGACAAGACAAAAAGAGCTAAAAGACAAATCAAGAGAAGATAGGAGACAAAAAATGAGAAGATAAGACACGAGACAAAGCAATATAAAAAGAAAAGAGATGAGATGAAACAAGTAGAGCTGAGAAGAGACAAGATGAGAAAAGACAGAGCAAGGAGACAAAAAAAGACAAGATGAGAAGTGATGATAAAAGACAAAAAGAGAAGAGACAAGAGGAGAAAATATAAAAAAGGAGACACAATAAAAAAGGTGGGATGAAATTAGACAAGCTTAAATAAAAAGGAGATGAAAGAAGAAGTGATGAGATAAGTACAGCTGAGAAGAGAAAAGACAAGATAACAAGACAGGATTAAAAACACAAGACAAAAAGAGGCAAGATGAGAAAGGTCAAGAAGAGGAGACACAAAAAAGACAAGATGAGCAAAGATGAGACAAGAAGAGATGAAAAGAGAAGAGACCAGATAAGACAAGACGAGAACAGATAAGACAAGACATAATGAAAAGATCAGCAATGAGATGAGACTAGATAAAATGAAAAGAAACAAGACAAGCAGAGTTAAGAAGAAGATGAGAAAAGACAAGATTAAGAGACACAATAAAAAGACAAGATGAGAACAGATGAGACAAGACAAGATGAAAAGTTCAGAAATTAGATGACAAGATGACATAAAAAGAGACATGTAGAGTTGAGAAGAGAAGATGGGAAAAGACAAGATGAAGAGAAATAATAAAAAGACAAGATGAGAACAGATGAGACAAGACAAGATAAAAAAATCTGAAATTAAATGAGACAAGATGAAAAGAGACAAGACAAGTAGAGTTGAGTTGAGAGGAAAAGATGAGAAAAGCCGAGATGAAAAGGCATAATAAAATACAATATGAGAACAGATGAGACAAGACAAGATAAAAAGATCAGAAATGAGATTAAATGAAATGAGATAAAAAAGACAAGTATAGTGAGAAGAGAAGAGGAGAAAAGACAAAATGAAGAGACATTAAAAAAGACAAGATCAAAACAGATGAGACAAGACAAGATAAAAAGATCAGAAATGAGATGAAATGAGACGAGAAGAGACAAGACAAGCAGAGTTTAGAGGAGAAAATGAGAAAAGATGAGATGAAGAGACATAATAAAAAGACAAGATGAGAACACATGAGACAAGACAGGTTTAAAAAATCAGAAACGAGATGGGATGAGATAAGATGAGAAGAGACAAGACAAGAAGAGTTGAGAAGAGAAGATGAGAAAAGACAAGATGAAAAGACAATAAAAAGACAAGATGAGAACAGATGAGACAAGACAAGATAAATAGATTAAAATGAGATTAGATGAGATGAAAAGAGACAAGATAAGTAGAGTTGAGGAGAGAAGATGAGAAAAATACAGATTAAGAGACACAATAAAAAGATAAGATGAGAACAGATGAGACAAGACAAGATGAAAAGATCAGAATTGAGATGAGACAAGATAAAATGAAAAAGAGACAAGACAAGCACAGATGAGAAGAGAAGATGAGAAAAGATGAGATTAAGAGACACAATAAAGAAGACAAGATGAGAAAAGATGAGACAAGACAAGATAAAAATATCAGAAATGAGACGAGATGAAAAAAGACAAGACAAGCAGAGTTTAGAGGAGAAAATGAGAAAAGACGAGATGGAAAGAAAGGAGATGAGATGAAGTTAGATGAGACTGGACAACAAGAAAAAACAACAGGAGAGACAGGATGAGAAAAGACAAGATGGCATGAAGTAAGAGAATGAGAAGAGACCAAAAGAAGATGGAATGAAGAGAGATGTAAACAAGATAAACTGAATGAGAATAGATGAGACAAGAGACAAGACCACGAGAGAATGAGACCAAAAATAAGACAAAACAATTGAGGCAAAAAAAGAAGATGATAGAAGAAATCAGAAGAGACAAAACAAGATGCAACAATATTAAAAGTCCACTGAAAAAGAAAAGAGAATATGAGATTATGAGAAAATGAGACAAGACTGAAAAAAAGAGACAAGATAAAATGAGACTAGACTGAACAACAAGAAGAAATAGGAGAGACAACATGGCATGAAGACAGAAAAATGAGAGACTGAAAGAGAATGGATTTCAGAGAGATGTAAACAAGACAATCTGAATGAGAATAGATGAGACAAGAGACAAGACCACAAGAGAATGAGATTCAAATGAGACAAAACTAAAATGATAGAGGCGAAAAAAGATGGAATAAATCAAAAGAGATGAGAAGATACAAAACAAGACATAACAAGATGCTAAAGGTTCAACGAAAAAGAAAAAAGCAAGGAAAGAGAATAAGAGATGGTGAGAAAATGAGACAAATTGAAGAAAAAAGACGAGATGAAATGAGACGAGACTGGAAAACAAACAACAAACAAACAACAACAACAAAAAAAAAACAGGAGAGACAAGATGAGAAGAGACAAGATAGCATTAGACAGAAAAAGTAGAGAAGTTAGACAGAAAGAGAAGAGATCAAAAGAAGATGGAATGAAGATAGATATAAACAAGACTACAGTAGTTGAATGAGAATAGACAAGACAAGAGACAAGACCACGAGAGAATGAGACCAAAACGAGACAAAACAAACATTTGAGGCGAAGGAAAAAGATGATGGAAGAAATCCGAAGAGATAAGAAGAGACAAAAGACACAACAAGAGATGCTAAAAATCTACTGAAAAAAGAAAAGAGAATATGAGATTTTGAGAAAATGAGACAAGACTAAAAGAAAAGAGATGAGATGAAATGAGATGTGGCAGGACAAGAACAGAATAGAATACAAGAGATGACTAAAAATGAAAAAGGATGAAAAAATTAAGACAACGAACCAGCGGATAGAAAAAGCAGACAACAAATGACAATAGACAAGACCATAGAAGAAATAAAACATGAAATATACTGTGTGTAGCCAAAATCTGGAGTTGTAAGAGCCCTAAAGAGGAGACAAGACAAAAACAGTGAAATGAGACAAGACTTGAGAAACAGAAATGAGAATGAAAAGGGATGTAAACAAGACAAAATGAAACAAGACTTCGAGAAGTGAAGTAGGATGCAACAAAGAGGAAGACAAAATGACAAGAGGAGGAGTGAAGAGACAAGACAAGATTAGAAGAGTAGAGACAAGATGTGAAGCACAATCTTCAATGCGCAAATTGGATGCTGGAGAAAAATCATTTGTAAATGACTGATGCAAAATCTTTTGTCTCTATAACAGTAAATTACCGGCTTTTATTTAATAGGATAGTTGAGTGACACAAAGGAATAATATCTGTACAAGAATTCAATTAACGCTGTAGCTTCCTGACATTCCACTATCTGCCCGTCACTCCGCACTGTAATAGCACATCTCCAACAGATACTAACTAGATGAAGGATTCTCACACCACTGCTTCAAATGCTAAGCGCACTACTCAAGGCATTTCAGAGCTAAAACCACCTGACATTTACAGGACAACATTACGCACAGCCATTACAGTACATGCTTTACTCTTACAATAAATGGAAAACTGAGCCTTTGAGATTCAAAATACCAAATATATCTCCTGAAAGAACAGGAAATTGGAAGAAACTAACAGTATTATCCAAGTTTATAATATCTACATCTCTTTTTAACTTGACCTATCTGTAAATCATTAATTTTTCTGTTCATTCATTAATTCATTCATTCATTCATTCATTTTTCCTTCAGCTTAATCCCTTAATTAATCAGGGGTCGCCACAGTGGAATGAACAGCCAAGTATATCCAGCATGTTATACACATCGGATGGCCTTCCAGCTGCAATCCAGTACTGGGAAACATGCATACACACTCATTCACACACACATATACAATACAGATAATTTAGTTTACTAAATTTACCTATAGCGCATGTCTTTGGACTGTGCAGGAAACCGAAACACCCAGTGGAAACCCACGCGAGCATGGGTAGAACATGTAAACACACAGAAATCGCAACTGACCCAGCCAGGACTCTAACCAATAAGCTAACCAATAAGCCACTGCATCGCCCTTTTTTGTATCTCCTATAAGAAAATGGTAAATTGCTGTTAAAATTACAGTTCATTTCCACCAATATTGTTGGAAAAACCAATACAATTATACATCATATACTGTAAGTTTCAGCATTTCACCATTTTGCAAATTACCAAATATATTTATTTTCAAAAAAAAAAAAAAAAAAAAAAAAAAATATATATATATATATATATATATATATATATATATATATTAACAAACATAGATTGCCACTCGTAATGTTGAAACCAATATTTTTTAAAACACTATATGGTCGAAATATGTTTTATAATCATTTAGCACAATGCCAAATATACACCTTTAATATTAGATAAAAAATGTAAATCTTTGTTAAACAGAAAAGAAATTGTTGCACATTGCATCGAGAAACCAATAAAATTTAGGGGTGTCAAAATTAATTGTTTCTTCGATGCAGACGCGGACAATTTGGTGTTGGTTTAGTAATAGATCATAATCGGTTATTATATACTGATGTCATTACTCATATTTGCGCTATGTCTCAGTAGCTTACTATGGCGAAGGAGGTGAGCGCGAGTATTTACAACACTTCAACTATTTAAAAACTCACAAACTGTGCTCAATTTCACTGCATGTCTTTCACAGACACTTACAGCAGAAGCCTTGATTTTACTGCGATCGAGAAAGTGAAAGTTCCCCTTTTCTGAGGCCCATTTGACCTGCTGGTGTGACTTTTCCTCTCCTCTTCGCTGTTACAACGATCCTTCTGGATATTGACACGTGTGCGTGTCTGCAGAATTTTAATGGATCAGCTGTGATTGTCGCTGCCGTTTATCATGGGTGAACAGCGACAAAAGCGTTAAAGCCAATCGCAGCCCTTTCTGTTGAACGCATGACCAATCATAGGGGTGTAAGAACGGACTCACTAGACAATGCCCAGTAGGTGAGCGGGATATTTGTTTTGATTATTTGCTATAAATGCTCATGTTGTTCTGTCCATGTACTTCAATTTATAAAGGTACTGTTCATATATCTGACTGACTGTATTAAAGGACAAAATTGTATTACAAATAGTATATAACCATATTTATACATTTTAATACAAGAATTGTTGTGATGTGAAAAAACACAAAATATTATAAAATATAAAACGGTGTATGGAAAGCATCGTAAATGCACCGTGATGCACCAAGATATCGAATTGAACTGAATCAATGACATGATAATCGTAACCGAACTGTTATGTGTAGGTTCATACCTCTAATAAAATTATTTCAAAACTTTCTATGATCTAAACCTGTCTTTGCTGTGATCATTCTTCTTAAAAACATGTTCCTCAAGAATCTATTTTGGGGCAGATTTTATTGTATGTTTATGTACTGTAGTTCCAGAAGATGCAATTAGGGGCCAATCACACCGAATGCAGTTTATGCATTGAGAGGCACCTCTTTTGAAGAGTGAGCATTTTGTGCGCAGCTTATGCCCCCTGCGTGCCTCATGTTTTAACCTCCTGCTGCGCCTCGCGTATTTGACCTTGCGCTCTGTGGACTCCGAGCGGAAAAAGCATATAACGTCTCTGGAATCTTTTTCAGACTTCAATCAAATGAAAGCAGAGGCGGGGTTTCCGTTAAGGCGCCTGCCGTGTTTGTGTAGTCAAGACAACAAGAGAGACTTTTGAGGATGGAGGAGACACTTGTTGTTGCTGTTTTGGGTTATCCAGAGCTGTATGACTTCAAATCATGAATATCACAATATTATTAGTTATTAAAATTATATTAATATCAACAGCAACACTTTCACACAATACCCAGCTGATTCAGTCATTGCCTAGCGACATAAGAAAGCACAACACGTTTCTTTTTTTCTTGTCAACAAAAAAGTTTGGTGCACCTTGCTTTTTTGGAACATAATGGCGCGTTTGGTGTGATCGGCCCCTTAGGCTCCAACATTAAAAGTTAAAACGGTTCCTCTTTAACAGTCCATTACTCTAAACAGTCTAAATCTAAGCTAAAAACCAATAAGACTAACAATATTATTGTTTTTTAAAGCTTTGTATTTTTAAAATGAGATGACGGCACTAATATTTATAGGGTTGGTAGAAGAGATATTGCATCTAAATTGGTCCTTTAAATAAAATACATAAACAAACAAACAAACAAACAAACAAACAAATAAAGTCTCGAATATAAATTCTGTTAAGAATACTGTTTCTAAAACAACAGAAAATTGCCAAGTTGTGTCAGAAAAACCAATTAAATTATTTATAAACATTCTAAGGCGACACAGGAAGGTTGCTGGTTCGAGTTCCGGTTGGGTCAGTTGTCATTTCTGTGTGGAGTTTGTACGTTCTTCATGTATTCACGTGGGTTTTCTCCAGGTGCTCCGGTATCCCCCAGTTAAAAAAAAACATGCAGTATGGGTGAATTGAATAAACTAAATAAGCCGTAGTGTTTGAGTGTGGAGGAGTGTTTCCTACTGGTTTGCAGCTGGAAGGGCATTTGCTGTGTAAAACATATGCTGGATAATTTGGCGGTTCATTCCGCTGTGGGGACCCCAGATTAATAAAGGGACTAAGCCAACAAAAAAATGAATGAAGGAATGAATGAATGAATTTAAATCTCTCTTTGCTTTTGGCATGCTGGAAACAAGCCCAAGAAAAAAAAGGTGTTGCTCATGAATCTAAACTTTAAAAGTTGCAATGGATTCCTTGTTATCATCTTTTAATTAATTTCAACATACTGTAATTAGTGCTAAAACCAATAAGACTAAAATATTATTGTTTTAAAAGCTTATCATTTTTAAAATGCAATGATAGCACTGATATTTACTACATTGGTTCTTTAAATGAAATACATAAACAAACAAATAAATTCCCAAATATAAATTCGGTTAAGAAAACTATTTCTCAAAGAACAGAAAAATGGCAAGTTGTGCTGGAGAAACCAATTAAATTATTTAAAAACATTCTACAATCTAAATCTCTTTTTGCTTTTGGCATGCTGGAAACAAGCCCAAGGGAAAAAGAAGTTGTTCCTCAGGAATCTACACTGGGACAGATTTAATTTTATGTTTATTTAGTTAAAGCAAAGTTACAATTAGGCTCCAACTTAAAAATGCAATGGATTTCTTATAAACATCTTTTCATTTATTTCAATGTAATTACAGCTAAAAACCAATAAGACTAAAACTATAATTTTTTACAAGCTTTGTATGGTTAAAATACTTGATAGTTTTGGCAGAAGAGAACAAATACACATTCTGATGAAAAAAATATTTCTAAAATAACATAAAAAATTGGCACCAGTAGTGTTGTAGAAAGCAATAAGATTATACAACATAATATAATCTAAATCTTTAGCCTCTTTTGCTTAACGATTACTTATAAAATGCCATTTTCTTTCAGCACTGCACATAATAAAGTGCTGGTGGTAAAGGAATCAATTCCTGCCTCTGCTCTTTGAAAGTGTTATGCACCTTACAATAGACGGATAAATACAAAAAGAAAAAAGAGAAATCCATTGAGAAAAATGTAGCCTTTTTCCCAATGTGATTGACAGTCTCACCATTCTCGGCCGAGAACACAATGGTAACAGGGCTGAACGGTCCCTGGCCTTTGGTGTTGTAGGCGCCCACTTTGACGCTAAATGGAGAAAATGGCAGGATGCTCTCATTTCGGTACACATAACGGGACTGCGTCGGAACAGAGGTGACAGCATGCGTCCAGTTGACTTCCCCCAACGGCCGGAAAGCGATGATGTAGCCAAAACCATCTCCGTTTTGCAGGTCTTCAGGCACAGGCTGGGAGGGAAACAAAAAACTGTAGTGATATTAAAACATACAGACCAGATTCAGCCTTAAGTGCACACCCAGTGCCTTTCCAAATCCCACACAGTTTTCGCAAAGTGATGCAACCTCTGGAGAGCGCAAATGAGCCGCTTTCTAATATACAACCAAATCTGAATTGAATGCCATTACGGGAGTAAAGGGCCCAGATGGAAAACAGGCTTGGCTTTGACTGAGGTAATAAACACCCCATTCAATTCCTTTTAATTAGCCAAAACTATTACCTCGCACAGAGGGAGTGATAATATAGACAGATGACTTACCTCCCATGTTATTACTAACTCTGACTTGGAGCCACCCCCACCTCCGACATCGGTGGGGGCCGTGTCAGGAACTGCGTACAAGAAAATAAAGCAAAAATAAAAATTCAATACAGCATAGAGATACAGCTCCCGCCTTGCTCATTGTTTCTTTTCTTTTTCTTTTCCTCAAAGCCTCATTATCAGTATCAAATGAAACAAAGCTCTGGTCCCTTAGCAACTGCTTTTAAAAGATTCTGTGGGCAGCGGCTGAGTTAACTGGCTTTGTTTCTAGTAAATTTCACCATTTGCCAGCAGTCTCTCAACAACAATGCTTGAAGAATTCATTCTATAACGTACAAAGAGACACTTGAGCATCGAGTGCACTGAAATCGTATCGCTTCATCATGGAATCTTTGAAGAACGCGGCCACTAAAACATTGGTGGATTCACTTTCAGACAGGACACCCACGAGACCATCTGATGTGTAAAACTGGATAGCCCTTTCTCAAATTGGCAAGCTGTGTTCTGATTGGCTGACTGATGCGGTTTATGTTCACAATGTACCTTTGGAAAATGAAATTATCATTCGCTTGCCAATGTAAACATCGCAAATGTTGGCAAGTCCATTGATGATTTGATCCTCAAATGGTTATATCAGAACAATTTCACTTTTGGACTACCAACAAAACATGATTTTGCAGTTTTTTTTTTTGCTTCTTGTTAACCAAGTCAACAAAGTTACTGACGAAAACGTAAAGTGATTCATGATTTCGATAATTTTTTAAAATGGAAAATGGTGGCAAATGTATGTCATCACAGTAATTAAATGAATTATTTAAATATAACCCAGCAGGCACATAATGTCATAAGATGTCAATATTAGGTTATATTTAGGTTGTGATGTCAGGTGACCAAAATTTAATGTCTAGTCAGTGTCTAAGGACATTATTTTGACGTCCAATAACAACGTCAAATGACATTGATATTTGATTGATGTTAGATTGTGTTGGAAAGTGACCAAAATACAATGTTTAGCCAACATATGAAACCAACGTCATATTGACATCAAATACTGACATTCATTTGTCAGGTATGCCAATCAAAATCCAACATCTGAAAGACTGCTGTAACATCATCAGATGTTGATATTTGATTGATTTTTGGTTGAATGCTGGACATTGACGTCAACCTGAAGTTTGGTTCTAACGTCAACCCAAACCCAACCTAAAATTTAACGTCCCCAAGATGTTGGGGTGTAATGTCAATCTAACGTCATGTTGACGTCATGTGCCTGCTGGGAAGCATACTGTAATTGAAAATATGCTTAGGAAACTTGCTGCACAAGATATTAACTAACAATAACCTTAATGAGTTAGAGTGTGTGTTTGTTTTTAGATTCTAGGTATGGACTCATTTGTTCCCGTAGTTACTTTTTATGTATCTTAAGTGTAGTTTTTTGTTATTCTATGCACTGATATTTAAATTCTGCTATTTTTATTTTCCTTTTGTGCTTTCTAAAAGCACAGAACATACATTTCTCCACTTGAGGGCATGGACAGTATTCAAAACAAAGACCTAGTTTGATGATACCGTGAACGAGTGTGGAATCATGGGAGTTGTTGTTTTCCTACATTATATCCTACAAGACTTATGTCCCTAGTTTTAGTGGTTTTAGAATATTTTTATGAAAAAATTTTTACAAAATTGATTGAAAAATTGTACATGTTGTGCCTTCAAAAGGTCAGCATATAGATGACGATGTTGTTAAAATGATCTGCATTCACATGGTCTTCTAATCTGCTTTTTGTTTTGCTCATCAAATATGTATGCAAGTAACTATGACTAATTCACCTGAATTGCCTTTTTGCTCTTTGCATTGTTTAACAAAGATACATAACAACTATGTTCTTTGTCTTTTATCCCCTCAAAATGTTAATGTGTAAATGCATGGTTCAAATAAATGGAGGTTTTTGTTGAGAATGCTACTTATATATGTCCCTTCATTCCTATGACTACTGGCTAAGTTTCTTAGTTGTGTCTAGTTTAGTTCCTAATTTAAATATGCTCTGTTTATTGATGGATACTGCATTTGTTTACATGCAACCTATGACTTTTTTTTCTCCTGTTTTTTTTTTTTTGGACTTTCCTGTTCTATATGAAAAAAAAAATCTCAAATTATCCTTATCTCTGCACCCTTAAGAAATAAATTCTCATAGTTTATACTGTAGTTAGTAATGTTACAAATGGTATATGTTAAAAGTATTTTAATGCAACTAAAAAGTCAACTAATAAGTCAGAATGGCATGTTGTGAATGTTCTATTTCTGTAAAACTGCACTAAAATACAAACAATAAATGACTAAACCTTAAGATCAGCATGAAACGAAAGTAAAGATTGTCCTTTTTGTCCCCATATCATGATGAACATTCAATTGAATTGGTCATGAAGCCTGATTTTACAAGAAATAAATAAAATAAAAAGCAGGCATGGCACCCAACTCCATTTACACAAAAATGACGGATATCTCTTGGATTTGTTTAATATTGATGTTTTGGTTCATATGTTAAAAATTATTTCACACTTGCATCAACTAAATTGTTATTTTCATCAAGTAAAATAAACTCTGAATGTAATTACCTAAATTAAATGAATATAAACACAATTTGAAGTATATTTGTCTGACTTTAATGAGACTTTTATTTCTAATTGTGTATAAATGAACACCGTCAGAGTCTTACCTGCATCTTCAGTTCTTGTTTTAAGAGAAGCAGGGCTCGGTTCGCCCACACCGACGCTGTTTCTAGCCAGCACTCGGAACTCAAACTCCACCCATGCGTTCAGATCCACCACCGTCGCGGTCAAGGTATTGCCATCAATCACCTCCGGGACTGAAAGCAAACAGAAAAGCCACGGTTTAACCGTAAAGACCTGGATTACACAGCGCTGAAAAGTCAACAACAGAAGCCCAATTTTGAGCCAATGTTTACAGTAAGCCGGAAATGTCAGGAAACATAGAGAAGAAAAAAAAAATTCAATTCCATGTCTCTTTCTGGGTGGGATGTTGTTCCAATGAATTCGAACAGCGGGGCAAGAGACCAGATTAAGTCATTTTGCGTTAGGACTTAGAGACCCTTATATGCACTCAAAGCAAGCATAAGCTTCTTTTTTAAAAGCACATGAGACGTGCTATGGTAATTTCAGTCTCCCGCTGAATTGATGCTCCGCTTGACTAGCTTTAGCTAATCCTGTATTGTTACCCGTGTTCACCGCTTGCCAGCCCACTGTGAAAGCCGTCTTGGCCTGGATGATATAGCTTGTGATGGGGCTGCCGTTATCCTGGCCGGGTCTCCAGGAAAGCTGAGCCGTGCTGTCCGTGATCTCTTCCACTGTTACACCATCTGGAGCTCCTGGGGGACCTGATTCAATCAGACAATTAGTGGCGAATTAGCAATTAGAGATGAAGTTACCTTCGCCGACACCTAACCTCGCTCACCTCCTGCCAGGAAGCCTTTCGCTTATCGGCCCACTAAGCTCTGTGATATAAGTCGGGTCTCTAAAAGGTGTTATTACATTTTAAGCTGTTGCTTTTGTGGGAACACTAGATCTCTTTGAGAGTCATAGTAAAGCTTTTCCGAGGCTTGAGCTGTTTTCTTAACAGCTACGACACAATTCTTTTGAAAAGCTGCAAGCAGGCATTTCTCTGCACTGCTTTAATTGGTTCTTCCAATTAAAAATGTGCAAAGAATTGTCTTCCTTTGTCAAATTCACAGGCTTTTGGGGAGAAATATAAGCATAATGGTTTGTGGTTTTGTCAGGTCAGGTCATTGTGTCCTGCATGTCTTTTATAAGATCAGACACTCATTTCTTTCTCACTTTAAAGGTAATTGTTATATATAAAGAAGACATCTTAGATTTTTTTCTCTTTCAGTTTGGTTTTGGTGGTTTAATGTGAGAATTTTGCATGCGTTTTCAGTCAAGCTAATTTTTACACAAGTAACTTTAAACCAAAGCCTTCCATTAATATTAAATAACTCCTGACACTAGTTCTAGTTCAACAGTTTCTGTTAGTTTAATTGCCACATTTTTATACCATTTTAACATATATTAAACTGAAGGTAATGTATTAAGAAAATGTGAAGAGTTCAGATGCAAAAGCCGTTAAACGCCACTTCCGAGATTATATAATGACATTGAGCGAATGCTTTAGGCATGTAGTACATGTTTAACAAATCATTTTGAATCAAATCAAGTGTCAGCCCATTCAGAAATAACAGTTTGTTGGCAAAAGCCTCTAAACGCCACTTGCCTTTGACAGCAAAAAAATGCTACTGTATGTTTTGAGAAACAATCTGAAGGTGCGAATCGAATCATATGTTTTCAATGTATAGCAGTGCAATGATAAGCCAACTTTAATGAGGAGAGTATTTTATTTCGATTCAGATTTTAAAAGATGGTGTTAGATGAACTGCATTATGAGAAAATAAAACATAATGTACTATAAGAGATACGTCACTAGCTTGTGCACAAGCCAGGATAATGAAAACAAAGAAAGCACCATTTTTAAATACACAGCCGAGACATGACATCATAATAATATATACATATAATAACAAGCCATGGTCGACCCGAGCTTAAACAACCCTTGTCGTCTTCTTGATACATAGCTACAAAGCCAAGAAGAAGAGCAGATTCTACCCCGGGCCCCTCAGTTGTTTACAAGACCCTCTAAAGTGCGAGTGGTTTCATTTTCTCATTAGAGCTCGCTTCGCATTTATATGTGAAATTACAAACTTCTTAAACTCATGCTAATAATGTGTGCGTGATTATTGAAGTGCTACTGACATCCGATCCTTTCAGAAACGGACAAACGTGACAGTAAAGCATGAAAAAACAAAGGAGAACCTGAAAAAAACAAAGGAGCAAATAATTCTTTCAGCATCCTAAAACTGCCATGTTTAACTATTATCATCACCTTTTGGACTGTTATGAACTTGAAATGATGGAATTACTTTCTAACAGAAGTTACATGTGCTCGTGAGGAATAAAGATGCAGATGAGAGTTTTGATCTGACTGTGGGCTAAGTTGCGGGTTGTTTTTGAACTCAGATAAGGACTAAATACAATAAATACTAAATATAAATACATATAAATACATATCAGAGACTGTAAAGGGCTGTATGTGTTCACATTTTTGCATTTATTTATTTATTTTTAATAATTGCAGAGGTTGCAGTAGGCTATTTTGCATTATCATTAATCTGCAGTTATAATCAAATCATGTTCATAGAAAAGTTAGTATTAACATTTATACAGTATTTATGTGTATAAAGCATTTGTTTTGTGAGAAGTGCTTCTCATATGATATGTGAACAACCCATACAGTTTTACTTTGACATTTCCTCGAGCGAGAATGATGTAGACTGCAACTTTGTCATACACCACGCCACCATTGGTACCCTTTTGGCAGTTGAAACGCAAGACTGATAAAGGTTGACAGTACTGACCTGTACCGTACTGTACTGTTCCACTCAGTGGAAACGGGCCATTAGTTGACTGACTTATGTATTTTTAATTTTAGGTGGTTTGTGTAATGTGTTTTATGTTTGGTAAAATAATTTTTTATTGCATCTTTAGTGCTTTTCAACTAATTGTCTTGTTCCGATAGGTGGGTTTAGAGGTTTATGCAAATAAAGCACAGGTGAATTTAGCTGTTTTTGATGCAAAAAAAAATCTACCTTCTTAAAAATCAAAGAATTGTCTAAAGTGACATTTATAAAAAAAAACAAAAAAAAAACATTATTTTATTTACTAGCTAATAACCCTATAACTACACATACAATGAAACTGCACAACCTACTCAGGAGCCTAATAAAAATGCTCATTTTACAAGAAAAGAGGTCTGATGGATTTAGAGGGCTTTGCATATAAACTCTTCATGTACTTCAAAAGTTATTTTCAGATATAATATTGTAAATGACACTTGTATACTGTAACTAGGTAGCTTTCAGTGCATTATTAATGACTCAATTTATCTCCATTAATGTGTCCAGTTTTAAAACGAATGATTCCTTGATCTATGTCTACATATGCCTGACAAATATTAACTAAAGTTACACTGAAAGACATTCTAGTTTTAGTCATGGTAAAACTATCTAAAATGTGAATTGTTCTGATGCTTAAAAACATATTTTGAACTACATTTTCTTTTTGTTATAAACAACCTCCCAAATAAAAGAGGCTCATGGTTCAGTTATAGGCCCCATTATAAAAAAAAAACAAAAAAAAAAACACTGATTTAATTCATAGATTTAGTTAGGCCAACTGTATTATATGCTCACAACAGTCAGTTTATACTTGTATTTTCTGGATGGCCATTGGTAATTTCACATCCTGCTTCTACACCCTTATAAACCATTGTTACAAGCTCCGGCAGTAAAAGTTGGCATGTCAATCTAATTTCAATTGAAAGTTATTGATCTTGCTAAAACCCATTTGTGACCTTTGATAAACAGCTTTGAAATGTTCCTCTAATTAACTCTAATGGAACACGTAATAACAGATCAATTCAAAAGACAGATGCATTTCCTTGGCAAAGCATTCCCATCTTTCATCTATCAGCTTCACTTTCCAAATCCCCAACCCTACGCTACTGTTCTGAAGTTTTGAATTGTTGTGATTTTTAAGGTTGTTTTTGGTCATCAAGACATCATTCATCAGATTCAAAATACATCCAAAACAGTAATATTAAGACATTTAGAAAAAACTATGTTTTACATAATATGTTTTATATTATTTATACAGTAAGTCTTAATTCCACATGATGCATCATAAACCATTCTAACAAGCTGAAAGAGGTTTAGGAAACAGAGTTTGAAAACATTTGTTCTGCTTCATCTTACAAAAACAAAACAAAAAAAAAGCAGTAAAATTGACAATATAACTTGCAATTTTGGTTGCCAATAAATTGCACTGCAAATTACAATGTGATGCAGTTTTACAGCACAATTGATAATTTACAGTGCGCTTGTAAATTTGACAGTTTTACTGGCAACCAAAATTGCAATTTTGTACCATTTAAACGTTTAGTTAAAAAATGCTTATATTTATGGACACATTAGGTTATAGTAAAGTTATAATAACCATGTTGTTATTTATTCCTTCAAAAAACGTTATAATTAAAATTAATCACAACTTTCACAAAACAAAATGTTTTCAACATTGATAAAACAATATGCGTTAATATATTTAACTTATAATTATTTAAAGGTTTTATAATATAATATAATATAATATAATATAATATAATATAATATAATATAATATAATATAATATAATATAATATAATATAATATAATATAAAAAACATTATTTATTAAATCATATTTTATTATAATAAAGTTGAATAATATAATATAATATAATATAATATAATATAATATAATATAATATAATATAATATAATATAATATAATATAATATAATAATTAATATTTATTTATTCATTCATTCATTTTCTTTTCAGCTTAGTCCCTTTATTAATCTGGGGTCGCCACAGCAGCATGAACTGCCAACTTATCCAGCATGTTTTTACGTAACGGATGCCCTTCTAACAATTTAGCAATTCAACCCATCTCTGGGAAACATGCACACACACTGAATAACACTCATACACTACGGACAATTTAGCCTACCCAATTCACCTGTGCATGTCTTTGGACCGTGGGGGAAACCGGAGCACCCGGAGGAAACCCATGCAAATGCAGGAAAACATGCAAACTCCACACAGAAATGCCAACTAACCCAGCTGACCTTCTTGCTGTGAGGCAACAGCACTACCTACTACGCCACTGCATAGCCTATAATATAATATAATATAATATAATATAATATAATATAATATAATATAATATAATATAATATAATATAATATAATATAATATAATATAATATAATATAATATAATATAATTTGTTTAATTATTGTTTAATAAATTGAGCACTTATAATAAATAGAGGAAGAAATCATTAATCTACAATGATTTCTGAATGACCATGTCACAGGAATAAATTACAGTTCAACAAATATTATGACAGAAAACTGTTATTAAAAAAGGCAATAATATTTCAAAATATTACTGTTTTAATAAATGCAGTTTTGTTACACAGAAGAGACTTGAAAAGACAGTAATGTACATCTGAAGCTCTCGCAAAATCGTCGGTCTCTTACCTTTGACGATTAAAATAGCAGCAGCTGATAAACTCTCAACATCTGTGTCCACCACACAAACGTACTTTCCAGCGTGTTTCAGCTGTATATTCCGAATCATCAGATCTCCAGATGTACTCTAGAGATATAAACACACACACACACACACACACACACACACACACACACACACACACACACACACACACACACACACACACACACACACACACACACACACACACACACACACACACACACACACACACACACACACATATGCACATTACTATCTTCTCTGTCAAACCGGGACTATACAGTGACAGGAGGATGTGTCAGTTGTTTGCTGTAGTCACTGCGAGTGATTCAGTACATGTGGACACCCTGCTGGGTTTGGGAATGAAAACGTGGCCCAAATCCACATCTAATGGATGACTTTTGGCCAAGGCTGTGCGCTGCTGCATTTGAAATGTCCGTCATGGATAAACATTCCCTCCGGCCAAGCCTTGGGCTCCTTCGGCTCTGCAACAGAATCCGGCTTCCAAACTCACTTGCTAATTGGCTAATTAGAGCTTAATCACATTTAAGAGGTAGTGTGATTGGATTCAGTGTGCCGAAACCCCCGTGATACGAAAGCGCGCAAGTGATGAATGCTAAAATCCACACGCAACAATTAAATGCCTTTTTTAATCTAATAAAGATGAAGAAAGTTGTTTATAAAAGGGGACGTGAATTTTGTAAGTGCTTTATAAGGGGGAGAGATGGTGTTCTGTGAAAATCAGAAGAAGGTATAAATATTTATTGAGTGAAAAGAGGATCAGAAGCATCATATGCTGTAAGTTATGATCCCAATGAGCACTTTAATTAGTGTGCGGTACTTCCTGATCATTGTTTTTATATTTTTATATCTAGGGATGTTGGTTGATTAAAATCTTAAATCAGATTTATTATTTATTTGGGTTTTTAATCTCAAAATGTAGTATTATTGTTGTTATTATTGTGTTTTTGTTGTTTTATTACAAAAAAAAAAAAAAAAAAACCCTGAGAAACAGACTCATTGGGAATATGTGCCCAGGGCTAGAGCTGTAATCGGGCAATAAAAGTTAGGCCCGATAGAGCCTGACAGAATTTGGCCTGAGACTCACAAGTAAATTTTAATTGACAGCTTTTTAAAGCTTTTTAAAGCACATGCAAAGAGCTCTTTTGCCTTTTTTTTAATGAATGAGTCGTTTATATGCACTAAAATATTAATATATTAACATAATTTATTCATAACAAATGTAGCTAAAGACCACTTAAAAGTTGGAACAAAAAAAATATATATATATGTCTTCTGTAACATCTCAGAACTCTAAATATAGGTACATCTTTAAATTGGCCTTTTATTTCGCCACTTCTCTTCACAATCTGGCTTTAAGGCGACGATGAAGGTCAATATTAAAAGTGTAATGCCAACATTATAATTTGGGTACGATTGTTTGTTCATCTTCCACCAGCCAAATACATCCATTTCATTTTCCATGACAGTGATTTCAATGTAGCGAGTGACATCCAGAAATAGAGCAAGGGTGTTTCTTTGGTGACACGGCTCTGACTCGCACGCTGAAAATGGCACATGTAAAACAAAAAACAGACCGCACTCCTACGTCAACTTGCGGTCGGTCTCAAAACCGCTGTAATTGGTCCACCGTTTTTATGTTGTTAAATTGAAAAAAAAAGGACTTAGTTTAATAATATCACCCCAATATGACAGTCTATACACTATACCTACACACATGTCTGTCCACACAGCTTGAAAAGTAGATTGTTCACCATTGGTGCCCTTTAAACATGTCATAATAGTCTTGTGAAAAGTGTCTATAAGGTATTTGAGATTGCTGAAAATGTAAACGGCGGGCTCTAGTGGATTTGTAAAAACAAAAACTGCAAGAACACATAGTCCCCAATACAAATTTCTCAGTTCTTCAAAATAGCCCTGGGCACATATCTCCAATGAGCCTGGGTTGATAAAATCCCTTTTAGAGTCACAGTTTATACAATATTAATTGGCCTTAAATATAAAAATTTTAAGGAGTCATTTGGAACAATGCACTCATTGTGACTATACATATTTGCAATCATATTTTATAAAACATTAGTATACATGTACTGGACTAAAACATGTTATTTAAACAAACTGTTTTTGGCTGAAAACCTTGTATAAATTAGTTAGTTATTTGGGATTGTTTCAGAAGATAAAGACAAACATTTTTCTGTTGTTTTTTCTTTTTTTCTAATGTCAATGTTAGTCAGGGAGCTGGAGTTAGAGATCAGCGCAGGTCAATTTTTTTAGTCCCGCTCCCGCAAGGTTTTATACGAACCCGACTGCTCCTGCAGAATATTTGTTTACCCACTCCCCAACCTGGCCCGTTTTCTACCTGCCCCGACCGTTAAATTAAAATCTGGTTTCCGAAATATCACATTTAAATTGGGTACAACCAAAAGAGAGAGAGCAAGGATTGTTGTGCAAGCATTGTAGGCTAAATGTCCGTTTTGTTTGCCCCTTTATGATGAGACATGGGTGCCACCTTAAACCTTAGCTTCCAGTCTTGTGACTGCTAAATTGTAAAACTTTGAGGTTTTAAGGTTATCGTGCAAAGGGTATTTTTTTCCATTTGAATCTATGACTTATAAAAAAGACTCCCATACATCAGACTTGCCTGATGAGGGTTTCCTAACAGTAAACTGACTGTTTTCTAATGCAAGCTGAAGGATAGCACATCTTCTCTTTGCTCCCCCATGTTGGTAAAGCTCGCTCTGAGGACTGTTATGCAGATGATGCACAGACTGTGCAAAAAAAAAAGCATGTGCAGAAAGCACTGGTTATGGGTTCATCATGTGTAACAGTCGTAAGCACTGGCTGTACTGTTTCCTGATAAGATTGAGAAAATCACAGATATGCTGTTCTAAAATAACGTCGGGACTCAGGAGCAGGCGGTCTAACAATATTGCACTACCGAGTCCCGACATTAAAATTACACCAGAGTAACAGACTGCTACCGCATTTTATTCATGAATTTATTCCCCAGACCTCTAGTTTGAGTATTTAAATGTATTTTTCTTTTCTTTTTTGATCGATAAGTTATTTTTTCTTTTTTATCAGCTGACTTTATGTTTGTTGTTTTAAGCTCCGTCTTCAAACTTTTCCAGAAACCCTGTCTTGAATTGTAGATTAAATTTAGGTTATTTTTTCTTCAAATTGTATTGTCTCTTTTGTAGTTTTGTTTTGCCTTTTTGAAGTCATGTATAAATCTTCACTCCTGATAAGTATACACAAACTTCATTCTTAGGGGCCGTTGACACTGAGAATGTGTTTTTCCTCCTCAATGCACTCCTTTTCTATTGTTTTTCAATGTAAACACATGCTAGACAGACATGTTTGACTGTTTCGCGTGCATCTAGTGTCTGCACATGAAACGACGTGCCAAGTTGAAAGATCATCAACTTTGACATGCAGCACAGCTCATCACTGTCAGTTCCAAAAGAAGTGAACTTATCAGAAGAGGTTGGAAGCGGTGCAAGCATTGCAAGCTTCTGTTTATAGTAGAAAGTTGGCATGACATCTGTTTTATTTACCGTTGTATTATAGCGGAGAAGATGCTCATTGTGTGTCCACATATCCTAAGTTACTAATCATAACAAAATGCTAATCATAACATATCGTTTTCCTATTTATAATGGGTCTGTTATTGTCATTATTACATCACGTTCATTGAAAAGTGTAGACCTCACAATAAGCTGTGCTTTTAGGAAACTTCTTTCTAAATGCTTTTTAGAAGCAAAGACGTGTTCTGTGTGAATGATCCCTTATAGTGTTGCATGACCTTCACTGCCCTAGGTTTGATAGGAGAATGCAACATAATGAATTAGAACAATGTGTTGTATTTGGTGATCAAATTAAACCTCAATGCTAAATTTTCAGAGATAGATTTATAGTACGGTTATTTTATTATTAGAGTGGTGTCACTTTCACATAGTGTTATCAATACAAAAATTTACTAACCACCAGCAGCACCATAGAATAGCTACCTTATGTTTGTAACCTGATTTGCATAATCCACCAAAATAAAACCATGCATACAGAACATGCAGGTTTACAGCCCTATCAATGGGTTCATTTAATTCTTACTTCATTCCTCCATCTGTCACCAATCTTCAGTTTAATAGAATGGATTCTTTCATTGCTATGGTTTATAGAAACAGATTCGCTCAGATGTAGAAACGCTCTGTGCTGAACCGAAGACTTTGGCACAGACAACTTCACTAATTTAATAAAAAGTGCTTAGATTTCAAATCGATTCAATTACTGGAGATAAGATGTGTGCTCTTATCTGAGGGCGAGAGTGTGGTTGGCAAACAAGAGGTGAATCCGCTATTTCAGCAGTAAGGACATTAGGATACAAATTTAGGTTCATTATGGAAATGAATTCATCCAAGCTGTGAACTTCACGCTGATAATCCTACAAGACGGGTGGCATCTGAGAATTCACAAGAACCAGAATATAATTACTGATAAAAATCGCAGGCTTAAATGAAGATGAGTTTATTTCCTACAGCACGTGTGCAGCCAAACTGACACATATTTCTGTTCTTGTAATTATATAAAGTCCAAAATAATTCGATTTTACTGTTAAATCCATAGTGCAGAAAACAAACTTGTTTAATTCAATATATGAGGTTATTTAAGAAAGCAATGCATCATTTTAATGGCTTCATGATTAATGACTGTACTGAGTCGTGCACTTATTTTTTTTTTCTTGTTCTCCATTTCAATGGACAAAATAAATGTTAGTGTGTAAAAAACAGAATAATTAAATAAATACAATTACATGTAATGGACAAAATGTATAAATAAATAAATAAATAAATAAATAAATAAATAAATAAATAAATAAATAAATAAATATTCATTCATTCATTTTCTTTTCAGCTTAGTCCCTTTATTAATCTGGGGTCGCCACAGGGGAATGAACCCCCAACTTATCCAGCATGTTTTTACGCAGCAGATGCCCTTTCAACTGCAGCCCATCTCTGGGAAACATCCACAGTCACACTCATTCACTCATACACTACGGACAATTTAGCCTACCCAAATCACCT